GAATATGTGCCAACAGTATCATACTTTAATTTATCTCGTTTTAAAGTTTTCATCATACTGAATTTTTCATTTACTGTTAATTGAATTAAAATGAGATATCCTGTTAATTCTTTGAGACAATATATGTATTCCATACTCAGATATACTAATTTATTATTTTGATCAAATATATCTCAAAGAATAAATTGTGTAACTTGATATGCCTCAATTCCTTTCGTTGTTATATAGACATTTGCGACAACAACATTTTTGGTGAGAAATGGTAAAGTATAATGGACTTGTCAGTTGATAGAAACCTAAAAAGACTAATATTGTTCATTGAGACTGCTTTTGTTTCATTGTATTGTTCGGCAAGAGCAAATCAGAACTAATTCTTTATTTGCTGAAATTGTTTTCGAATAAGTTAAATTTTACTCTAAAAGAATGTTCTTTCAATCTATGTCAATAAAGCCGAACAGTTTATCTCACGTTAATTTATGTATAGAACACGTAGCTATTTACAATCAAATGCTATTATGGACATCTTTTCCAAGTAGACTTATTATCAGATCTTCACTAGATCTTCATCAACAAAATCAAGATATAGCTGAAAATCTGTTCAAAAATACCAAAGATGTACTGACGTCGAAGTAAGAAAAGGAAGTTTATATTTCATGCAATCATTTAGAAGGTAGAATTTCTGGATTACATCGAAAGTCGACGTACCGTTGTACAATCCACTTGTCAATGATATTAAAATAAACCAAGTTCCAAACAATTCCGTTCAAAACAAATTAGTGATCAAAACTTCCTCATACAAGATTTTAATATTGGACAATGTCTTAGGCAAGTGAGCTTAAAATTCAACTGAACTACTACTAGACTTTCAATAAAATATTTACTCTAACAATCGATCAAGTTCGTTTGTTGATCAATATTAACATATAAAAATACCCGTCCTTTTTTCAGACAATATTCGATGATTATTGTACATGTGTCATTTGTTTGGAATTTTGATGGGAAGAATAGACGTAATTTCTTTATGACTTTTGTTCAATATAACTATATGATCTCGATGTTCATAAAATAGATTTATTCATCGCTAATGAATATTGTTTTCTTTTCTGAAATATGCAGCAAAGACCGTTATACTATTTTCAATATATGAAATGAAATGGAGTCAACTATTGAGAAACAAAAAATTCAAATACAGGAAGACAACCTAGATCAATAATTGAATCATTCATGGCATACAGAATGACCCATGAATGGTTGTAAACCATTTGAAAAGAGCAAAAATGTCTGCTGCTCCAATAATGGTTTGCGATGTACTATAAAACGAAGAAATAGGATAATAAATGATATTCATTACGATCAACCTTTACGTTTCAGTGGCAAAGACCAATGTTGCGACCGCATTTTTCTTGTTTCAACATCGTTTATATATGGAATTACAAAAGTGTCTTAAGAGTATCATTAGATATGCTCTGATGATCTATAATAGAGAAATCTTGATAATCTTATCTAGTAATTGTTGCTAGTTGGATAACATTTTGGTGTTCCTTGAAGTACTTCACTGAGACTGAACTGCATTTCACTCTTGTTATCTTAAACTTTGTTTTTTTTTGTTGTTTGAGGTCTCAACTAACTTTTTGAACTAACGAGTGATCCCTAATAAATGACCACACTTTGCATTTTATATTTTAATCTTCAAATACGTTCTATTAAAAAAACAAAGTATATCATAAGGTGCAGCATGAAAAGCTCTACAATCTACAAACTAAAGCTTATTGTAATTGTGTACTTTGTTTTCAAAAAAGAGTATAACTCTGTGCGATCAATTTTCGCTCTTGTGAAAAATGATCGTACAGAATTTTGTTTTTTTACGAAAACACACTAGGTGATGAAAAGATGAAATAAGAAGAGAATACTCTTTTCATAAGGACAAAAATTGATTACACAGAATTTTTCTTCTTTTTGAAAACAAAAATTACACAACTAAAATAAGCTTTACTGTATAGATTGTAAAACTTTTCACGCTGCATCTTTGGTATATTTTGTTTTTTTTCAATAAAACGTATCTAGAGATGAAAATATGAAATGCGAAGTGCGGCTATTTATTATGATCATCTGTTATTTCACATATCAATCGATAGCTTTTACTGAGATCTGTTCGATAATATGACGTATATCCTGCAAAAAAAGTCTGTGTCATACCAGACGATGACCAACATATTCTCGATGTCAAGCTTGAGGAAGAAATAGCACATCTTGCATATCCTTCGATCGTCACTTTTTTTATAAGTAAGTATCATAGATGATAGAACACATTCTTTTGTATTCAAGATATCTACTAATAGAGATGGATCTGCCTTTTTTTCAAGTCGTTGTTTTCAGAAAGACATCACAGCACTTCTAATATAAAAAAAAACCTTTAGTTGAATATACTATTTTGCATTCTGATCATTTGTTAACATAGTCACATTTATATTAGATGTTACATTCTTCATCTGACAAAAGGTGAAAAGACTTTTTCCAACTGACTTGAAAAATACTTGTCTCCTCTGTCTATTCAGAAGTTTATTCGTGTTTCAGTACTGATGTTGCTCACTTCATATAGAAATAAGACCTTGTAAAGATTTCAAAACAATGCAAAAGGGCTAAGTTATGTCTTCTTATTTCAAAATGTCGTCGTAAAATCAAAGACCTTTTATCCAGAAACTATACTAGTGGAAATACATTTTGCTTCTACTTTCATACATAATAACTATAATTACTGTGTTTTTAGTGCTCCTTTTTATATTTGTACGTTGGATATAGCTTGCGTCTCTTAACTCCTATGTATCAATCCTATGTGCAGGATAGAACGTTTCATAATAATGAAAACAATATACTGAATGTTCCGCAGTCTAATAGTAAAAGATAAACCAAGCCGTACAAGACAAAAATACGTTGGAAACCGATGAAAAACGACCATTATTCGTAGTTGCTCACACGAAAATTTGCGCTCTATCAGGTGGTTTCAGATGCTCCTTTCAATGGTCGGAATCTCCATCTCAGGCAAAACCCGACATCAGGAATTCCACAAAATCTACTTATTGATTTACAGACACATACCAATCGCCAATAAACTACAAAAATTAGGAACTATTCAATCAGTCATCCTTTCTAACTACCAGCATCTACCGATCTTATATGTAGTTCATCTGACACAGCCCATATGTCCAAACCACTTTAGACTGACCTATCATTAAAAACCGAATATCACTTCGAGAACTGGAGCAGTGCAACAGGCAACCTAGCCACCAATCAACTCAAGCTTCAGTAGTGAGGATAAACAATGTATAAACGTGATTCGACAAACTATTCTTTTCCACACCCAAGGACCCATTTATTGATCACAAAAGCAGCGTCAACGCAAGTCACAAGGCACAACGAAAATGCTATCTTAAATCTTACATGTCTCTTCACATATCCCTCCTTTTTAATTCCACTCATCGTCACTGCTAGGTTCAACATCTGCATTAACAATCAAACAAATATTAACACAACTGATGCCCGATCCAACCACGAGTTCAATGGAAACACAACAAGGGTGTGGGTGTGGGTGTGGGTGTGGGTGTGGGTGTGGGTGTGGGTGTGGGTGTGGGTGTGGGTGTGGGTGTGGGTGTGGGTGTGTGGGTGTGGGTGTGGGTGTGGGTGTGTGGGTGTGGGTGTGTGGGTGTGGGTGTGGGTGTGGGTGTCGGTCTTGTTCTCTTTTAC